ATTTAATTATATATTCTGATATTATTATAAATTATTATTATACATTATTATTATTAAACAGAAACTCATTTATTTATTTTTATTTGTGTTTTAAATATTAAAGATTGCTATTTTAATAGTATTTTAATTATTTTATTTTTATTTCTTCTATATTCATTTAATTTTTCTAATTATAAATTATTTTATTATTATTATTATTTTTATTATTATTTAATTATATATTGTGATATTATTATATATTATTATTATACATTATTATTATTAAACAGAAACTCATTTATTTATTTTTATTTGTGTTTTAAATATTAAAGATTGCTATTTTAATAGTATTTTAATTATTTTATTTTTATTTCTTCTATATTCATTTAATTTTTCTAATTATAAATTATTTTATTATTATTATTATTTTTATTATTATTTAATTATATATTGTGATATTATTATATATTATTATTATACATTATTATTATTAAACAGAAACTCATTTATTTATTTTTATTTGTGTTTTAAATATTAAAGATTGCTATTTTAATAGTATTTTAATTATTTTATTTTTATTTCTTCTATATTCCTTTCATTTTTCTAATTATAAATTATTTTATTATAATGAGAAATTTATAACTTGAATGTAATTATAAATATTAATATAAATTTTAAACTTTTTGTTTAGAACCTTTTTTTTTCTTATTCAGTAATATTTTTAACTTTAGCAATATATTTTTAAGTTTTCAGTCTATGAATTATTTAATTTAGTTTAATTATTTTAAATAAATTTATATTTATAGTTTATATAATATTTTAGAGATAAATAATAGTTGTATCAAATGTGTATTTTTTTCACTTTTACGACTATATTTTTATAATGATTTCATGATTATTATAAATGTATATATTTTCATATATGGGTCATTCTTTTACAAATGGTACACCTTTTTGACCTCATCGTCTCCGATTTAAATGAAAAACTTTTGAAATTTAACGGTTAATATAAGTACTTAAATATACATAATCTTAATGTGGTTTCAATGTCAATTCTCAAAAACCCCAATGATTTGTATCTCCTGGAAAAATCAATTTTAAAATTTTTATTCAAGATATGGGTATTTTTATTTTATGAAAGGAGCTCCAAATTTCATCCAAATTGAAGATTATGAGGTCATTTTGTTCCATAATCCGTCCGGCTTGTAAAAGCATGACCCATATATATTAAAAATTTTTATACAGAAGTTTATAGAAATAAAAATTTATTATACTTTAAACAAAAATTTATTTTTTATTATAATAAATAATAATTATTTCTTTGATTCTATATAATTTTTCACTGCTATTTTTATCAGCATTTAGTTTATAAGAATTTCATATGAACTTTACATAAACATTTAACAGTTGTTATTTTCGTTTTTTTTTAAATTTTCACTTCATTTGGATCAGTGATTTTCAATATAATATAATATAATATTCTATATAATTTTAAAACAGTTTTTTGATTGTTAATATTTACTATTTATATCCGGGGGTTTTCATATTACTTTGTAATTATATTCTCATAATAAATAATTATATATTTATAGTCATTTTTATGTATAAAACTTTTAATTTTTTTTAATAATTAATTTTTAGTTTAAAAATTTATTATATAAATTTTTTTTTTTTTTTTTGGTAATTAATTTTTGTTTTAAAAATTTATTATATAAATTTTATAATTTTTTTTTTAGTAATTAATTTTTGTTCTAAAAATTTATAAAATAAATTTTATAAGTTTTTTTTAGTAAATAATTTTTTTTTTTTGAATTTATTTCATGCATTTATTATTAAAGTTTATAATACTTTTTAATTTTTTTAAATTTTATTTATGCTCTTCTCTGATTTACTTGAATTTTTTATATTGACTTTTGTTATAGTTTATATTTGTATTAAGTAAAGTTTTAATTAGTTTTTACTTTCATACAAAAGAATTAAATATTTTATTTGAAATATATTTATTTTTGATACAACTTTTATAGCATTTTTATTTGATTAAAAGATTTCAATTTTATTTTTGTTATAAATTTCAAATATTTTATTTATACTTATACATATCATATTAAACTTTCAATTAATACTTTAATTTATTTCAATTAATTTTTGTTTTTGTTTTCAGATAAATTTCTTAGACAATTTATATATATTTATATATGTGGTAATTGTTATTTATTGTTATTTAAACATGATTTATATCAGTTTAATTTTATAAATATATGTGTATAAGAAAAATATTTGAATGGTTCTTATATAAATAGTTATTTAGTATCTTTTTTTTATTTTAAAAATTCAATTCTTTTTTATTTATTTAATCTTAATTATTTAATTATTAATTATTTAAATAATTTCTGATTAACTTATATTCTGTATATTATTTTCGTTATATTTTATTTTTAAAGTTTTTTATAATTTTATATATTTTTTCGTATTGATTATTTTCTAACCTTTTTTATAAACTATTTATATGAAAATATTTGTTTAAAATATATTTGAATTGCGACAGTTTTTGTTTTACTTTCGAAGTTTATAATATATTTTATGTTAGAAATTATATCATATTATGAGTTATACAATAACATATCATATTATTGTTTAATTTCATATTTTAGCTATTTGTGAATTCAGAGTTAATGCTTCAATTAATTTTCGCAATTTAAAATTAATTTTCATTTTGTTTATGTGATTAAATTTGTTATTTTATTTTTATATACATTTTATAAATTTGTTATTAGTATATAAAAAACATTTTAATTTTTTTTTTGACTATTTAGATTAGATTTTATTTTTTTAAATTAATTTCCGTTTTATTTTTATTAATATTTTTGGTTTATTTAATTTTTACTATGACTGTTTAAATTTTTATTTTTGCGAATATTGTTTATAAAACATTTTTACTATAGATGTTATTGTAGTTTAATCAGTATATGCAATTATTATTTTGCGTTAAGGATAATTATTTTAATAACAATTAAAATACACAAATTTTTATTAAATAGTCGAAAAATAATATTATAAAATTAATATTTACATTTATATTGTATGAAGCCGAATTTTTTTTGTTTTGTTTTATAACATTTCATTACCTTATTACATCTTTCTATTGGAAAGAAATAAATAAATTAAAAAAAAAATTTTGGATGGTATTTAAATCAATTTGTTATCCACGAAAAATATGACACAGAATGTAGATGCAATATTTTCCAAAAAACATTAAAAGTAATGAAGACTTTTAATTAAAAATATGTAGTTGCATATATCTCTAATTAGTGTTTGAAGTCCAAAGATAGAATCCTATTTTTTGATAAAGAAGTGATTTATAGTAGAGATGAAACCACCGATGACAGATATCAACTGGTAACTGCATACTCAATCCAAATTCGCACACAATTGTAAACAATTTTTTTTACTGTAACCAATTACTATATATATTTATGAGGTTTTACAAAGCACTTGCAAAGCACTTATTAACACTTAATAAAAGTTCAGGCATAGTTCAATTTTATTATATAAATATTTATCAATGAAGGAAACAGATTACTTTCCATTGTGTTAGTATTACTAGAATTGCGTTAATAGTTATGGATTTCCAACCTATAAAAATCTTTTAGCAGCTTGTAGTTATGTCAATAAATATATGGCAATTAATATATATCATTCATGTTCCACTCTTAACCATTTGAGATAAAGAAGAACCATCATTAGTTAGTAGTTGAGTTAATAATATTTTTGTTAATTTAATTTTTTTATTCGTTTATAATTTATTCTTACATCAAATGTTTTATTATATTTGTAATTATAATTTGGAAATGTGGTTTTATAGTTTATTAATTCCGAAACAAGATTTTTTTTTTGATTATAGCTAACTCTATTACCCTAATCGACCAAGCCGATTGTTTTAGCTAAGATTTTTACTGGATATGTGTTACAATAGTTCCAGTGCCCATATTAACCAAATAATTAGTATAAATGGGCTGTACGTTTACGATTCTGTAAATTTTTTACACTAATTATGTTAGAAGTGGAAAAGATAACTAAGCTGTAAAAATAGACAACTAGTTTGAAGTTCATTTAAAACTTCAATATCATTCACAGAACAGACAAAGAGACTTTAAAATTTTTAAAATTTTTTTTTTATTTATACAACATTTTTTTTAAAAAATAATTAAATTAATTAGTATAATTATTAGTACAATATATTTTTTTTTTGTGATATCCTTAGCAGCTTCAGGACTTTGTATGACAGATCAAAACGCGACTTTACGGCAAACAGTTTGCTTTTTTTTTACTTTTGTTTACGTGAATATTTTGTAAAATGTTTTGAACGCGCCTAACTGCAGTTTTTACGAAACTAAAACCTTAAAACGCACAAACCCCCATAGATGCCGATAAAAAGAGTATTTATCTGAACCATTTCCACAAAACCCAAAAAAAAAACAATTCGCTTTACACAAAACCCAACACGGATGCAGCGTGTAAGTAAGTCGACAGCCTATACGTACACTGTCCGTGTCTCATACACAATGTTTACCTTGTATACGTACACGCCAAAAAGCTTTTGATGCACAAACACAGCCACACAAGTTGTGTTATACACGAACTGATGCTATTCACACGTATTCACGTATTCACGCATTCACGTACATGTTACACGCTTGCATGCAGTCTCTCTTAGCTAAGTATCTTAGTATCGAAAGCTTTTTTCCATAATTATTTCCTTGCGACACAATAACGTGTGCTCCAAAGCTCTCTTTACGGCTGCTGCATTTTAGGCTTAAGACCAAGTCTTTTGACATACGTGGTTGACTTTCTGTACTTCGAAGCGGCGGAAAAAAAAAGATTAAATAATAAAAATTTTTTTTAAGATAAATTTATTATACGTGAGCGCGCTCATTTTTTGATCCCCAAGCCCCGTAGCATCGTTTCGGCATTCTATGAGCGTACACTGGTATAAAAGCTTGTGTCAGATGGTCAAAATTATTCAGTATCTGTTGTGGGTTCGTTCAAGACAACTAACCCAATTTTGACTAAACGTCCTCGTTCTTTAATTCTATTTCATTTATTTTTGTATTCATATTTTTTTTTTTATTACAAAAAATATATATATATCTGAGTGGTATTTGTGCAGTGCAATTATTTTTTATTTAAATTTGCGAAAATGAAATCAATGGTATGTTTTGTGTATTGGAAAAATTAATTTTATTCAATAAAAAAAAAATAAAAAAATATTAAAAAAACCAAAATTGAACTCAATTATTTATAAAAATAAATTTTAATGCTTAAAAGTGTATTACTTTCAACAAATCAGACTGACTAGAACTAGAACTAGTAGCTAGTGTCATAAAACTTTATTAACGTGTGAAAAGGCAAAACAATACAAAAGACTTAAGCAACAAACTTGCTAAAGAAAAAGTGCTTCACTAACAAAAAGGATTCAATAGTATTTGCTTTATTACTTGCTTCCTAACTAACTATTATGTGAATATTTAACAATAAATATTGCTAATAAATGAATTTTTTTTTTTTGCTGATAAGTTGTTTTTAAAATCAATATATAAATAGTGTATTAATATTCAATTAATCAAATCAATAAAAAACACAATTTTATATTTTTGTATTATACTCCAGAGAAACACAAAAGAAGAAATTGTATTGTATATATAATTTCGTATTCATAATTGATATTTATATATATCTGTTTTCAGGCTTCCTGCAAAATTTTTAAAGCAATAAAAAAATATTCGGCTATATATAATTTTTCTAAAATAATTTTGATTGCAGCAAAAGTTGCTCATACGCCTCGAAATAAATTTGAAGCCATAAAATTTTATTGCTAGAATTGTTTCATCACAAAAAATAATATATATTAAAATTCAATAAATTAAATTGAATATTATTTAATTTTCTTTAAAACATTTTTTTTCGTTACTTTTTTTGTGATTTATTTAGACTTTTTTCATATTTAAATTATATAAACTTCAAAAGTTTATCTAAATAACTAAGAATCTACTAACAGAAAACTGTTTTCTGTTTTATAGTTTAAATTATTTTTATTATTGAGATATTTTTCAATATATTTTTTACAAAAATGTATTTGCTGCAATTTACATTAAATTTTTTTCCAAATAGTTATATAGAAAGATTGTAAGTAAAAAAAAATATTGCATAATTTATTATTTTCATGACCAAATTTATTTATATATTTTTGGTCGGACTAAATGGTCAGTGTTAAATAATACACAACTTATTAAATTTGTTTTTAAAAATATATTTTATAGTCAATCAAAATTTCAAGCATAGTCAGAAAGAAGATGATTATAAATTATAATCATCTCTTTTTTAGCTAATTTAAAATGTTGCGTATTATTTAACATTGGATAATGAATCGATTCAAAAATGGATTAAAAATTTACCACAAAATAAATTAAGTGCTTTTGAGGAAATCAGTTAAATTTAACTAAAATATTGATTGTCACTAAATTAAGTGAATTACCCAACCTATCCATTTAATAATATAATTTTTATATAATAAAACAATTCATTTCGTCATCAAATCAGAAATTAGTTTTAATTTATAGTTGCTTTAATATAGAATACAGAACAGAAAAAATTCGCATAAAATAATTTTCTTTTAAATTAATCATATCACAAAACGATTATATATTTTGTATATATATACAATCATATACATATGTCAAAATCATTAAATAAGATTATACTTATATTGTTATTTATATTTTGAATTTATCAAATACATAACGATGGCATATTATTTTTGATATTATTATTATTTAATTAAAATTCATATACTTTTGTGCTAACCAGTTAAAGTTAATAGATTAATAATTAATTAATAGACATCATTCCTGAAAATGACTATAGTCGAAATAATGGTGACAATAAAATGTATTTTTTAAAACTAATTTTAAATACTTTATATTATTAAACACTAACCAATTAGGGCATTCAAGAATATATAACTAAAATTTAAATATTAAAACAAATAATTAATTATATTTCGTAAAACTATATAAACATATAATTATATACCTATAGAATAAAGCACACTAAATTCCTTATAGTTCTCGATTGCTTCTACGTTACTTACAAAAATGTATTCTACAAATGTGAATTATATTTAAATAAGTTTATTGTTAAGTTTATTAATTATTGAAATTAAATTTAATTCATTATCTATTACAAGATTAGGCAAAACTTGTAAATTGTTTATTTATATTTGTGATCTTCCCTGAAGATGACCATCGAAGATAGTCGAAATATCGGAAAAATATATTAATAAGATATAATATATTTTTGAATATAAATAATAAATTATAGTCTTTTTAATGACCAATTTGCCAGCTAATAAATTATTATATTTGTGATACATACAAATTTCCAAATTTAGAAATCAAATAATGTGAGAAAACGAAATTCAAAAAATTAAACAATAAGAAAATTAAATTAAAATTTAAAAAAATATGATAAAAAATTCATAATATTAACAAAAATTAACTTAATAATAATAATAATAAAAATAATAAAAATAAAAATATTGATAATAATAATAATGATAATAATTAAAATAAATATAATAATAATAATATTTATGATAAAAATTATTTATTATATATATGATAATACACATGTATTTTAATTACGATTTTAATTTCGATTATATTGAGGTAGAGTAAATTATTTTGATTGAGCTCTGGCACTTTGAAGTAGAACCAAATATCTATCATCATAAATATTCAAAATATTTTCTGGCTTAATTGTCCATATTGTATTATTATACAATAAACTTATTTTAAAACTTATTTGTGTTTATTTTATTTTTTTATTTCAGTATTATTTAATAGTAGTTAATCTCATATAGAATTATTTTATTTTACTTTATTTTGTTCTATTTCTTTTCTTAAAATGTTTGGTATAACATATTTAATTCAATTGAAAATTAAAATTTACACAAGTTATATTTTTTGTTCTTGAATTTTATTTTTTGATTTTATATTAAAATATTTTGAAATTATAAATTATAAATTTTAATTTTCTCTTATTTATCACTTTGTTTACTTATTCCATTTTTTTGCAATAATTATATTATATATATTTTATTTTATTTTATCACACTAAATTTAATTTTCTTATTTTGGTTTATTATATTTATTATTATTTTATTATTATTTTGGTTTTATTTCATATTTTTACTTAATTTATTTTAATTTTACTTTATTTCAACTAATTATTTTATGTTCTTTAGAATAATTTATTTATTATAATTCAATTTAAGTGAATTTGATTTAAATGCACTTTTTATTTTATTTTATATTATTTTATTTATTTATTTTATGTAACTACACTTTTTTTAATTTTACTTTATTTTACTTAACTTTTTATTATCTTATTTTATTTTATTTTATTTCATTTTATTTATTTTATTTTATTTTATTTTATTTTATTCTATTTTATTTTCTTTTCTTTTTGGTTTTTATTTTACTTTACTTTGTGTTATTTTATTATTTCATTATTTTTAGTTTACTTTATATTATTATTTCTTTTATTTTATGCTATTTTATTTAATTTTTCTTATATTATTAATTTAATTTAATGTAATTCAATTAAATTAAATTAATGCAATTCAATTAAATTAAATTAAATTAATATTAATTTAACTTAATTTAGTTTAAATAAATTTAATTTATTTTAATTCAATTAAACTAAATTTAATTTCATTACTTTAGTTTAATTTAATAGAATTACATTAATTTAAATTAAATTAATAATATAAGAAATATAAAATAAAATAGAATTAAATAAAGAAATAATAAAATAAAATAAATTTAATAAAATAAAATAAATTTAACAAATTTAATTCATTTTACTTTATCTTAATTTAATTTAATTTAGTTAAGTTTAGTTTAGTTTAGTTTACTTTATAATTTATATTAATTTAATCTGAATTAATTTAATTTATTTTTATTTAATATAGTTTAATTTAATTTAACTTGATTTGATTTAATTTAATTTGATTTAGTTTAACTTATATTAATTTAATTTAATTTAATTTGGTTTAATTTGATTTTATTTAATTTTTTTTCCTGAAAATTAAATACAACACATTTCCGAAAAATTTTCTCGGGGAATTGTGCTTTGTTGAGAGGTAACACAGGTTCTACACCCATATAAATTACATATTGGCTATTGTAGAACTAAAAGTGTTCTGCCTATTTAAGAGGCATTCGATTTCTGCGTATGTCTGCGAGTCAAAATTTCTTTATATTAATCAATACTTCTTTTGGCTTCACTGTAGATGGTATGATCAAATCCTTACTTGCAAAAATATTCCTTTCCATAAAAATTCTATATTTCTATGGATTTTGTTTGCATTAAAGTCTTGGTAAATAAATGATTCTCTGTTTTTGGTTTGGTTTCTTAAGAAAATGATTCCTTAGTTAATATTCTGTAGACAATCACTTTGTGTAGTCATGCTATATAAGTGGGTACTAATGTTTCTTATCATAGTTTATTTTTATTATCGAAGAAGTTTGTTAACAATGCCATTGTCCAGTTATTGGTTGTATAATTTATTTGATTACTTCGCTTAAATATTTTATAAGGAGATTCTTTTTCTGTTCTTAAAAATTAGCTGTTATAACTATTTTAATTTAAGTGGGCATTAATTTTTTTAGCGTTTCATATTTAAGATATTAAAATGTTTTATGGGTATGCAGAATTTCCATATATCTTTATTCGTCGAAGTCCTGTCTATGTGTCAACTTGGACTTGCCCTTATCTTCTTTATTGTGAGTTCCTTTGTTTATTATTATGGATAATATAAACAAATGGTTTTTGAAACAGTTGAAGTTGAATTGGTCATATCTGCATTATAATTTTATTCAATATAGTAGCAATTGCCTGTGATTATATTACATTTGTAATATAATACTTTACAATAGAGTCTATATCACTGTTTACTTTTGATCAATATCACAGTGTAAATAACTATTTTCACTATACTGTATTAAATAAATATATAGCAAAGCAATTATTCTGCGATTGGCAATCACTTATAAATTACAATGTATATAAAATGATTAGATACAGGATTTTTTTTATTAAATAGTTTAAATAAAAAATATTTTTCTTTTTTTCATACTTTCAACATAAACATTCCAGTCAAGGTTTGATAGATTACGAACCTGAACATTGTCACTTGTAATTATCTGAAGGCAATAATATTTTTGTAGTGTAAAACCAAATTGGGTCACAGATGCAATCTACAATCATTTTTAAAAATCTGCACATTTTTTGCTACTTTCAACAAACAAAAACGTTACTTTTTTGGCTTAGTTTCAAAATCCATTTTTGGTTTGGTTTGAATTTGCAATCTATTTGGATTTCGGGATCCAAATTCAACGCTCAGTAAAAAAAGTTATGCAATCAAAACAAAGCAAAAAATATCAACAAGCAATTTATAATGATAGGTAATATTATATTAGATTTATTTGTAATAACCCGCCAATGTATGATATTATAAAATGAAAGACATGCAGAAATATAGAAAAAAGTTTCGGTTTGATTATTAGCAAATCCATAAGAAATGCCAATCAGCTCCAGACATTGCATACGAAGACAGCCCAGGCAGGCTAGTGAATAATGTGCATCGAAAGTGAAAACTGCAATTCGAAATACTCGTAAAGCCATATGAACTCTCACAACTTTTTCCGTCTCGAGCTAGTGTACCTCAATGGAATTAGGCGCACACACATAATTCGTTCGCATTGAACTTGGCTTGAAGCCCATAACGAACCGCTTCAGTTTCAGTTTCTTTTCAGTTTCTGATCACAAGAAATGCAGGCACACATAACAGCTTGCGCGAGCCGGCCTGCTTGCAGCTTGTGTAATGCAAAACGTCATATCTACTTCTGGAATGGAAGTCCATAGAAATGCAATTATATAATGTTCGTACTGTTCGTATTGTTTGTTGTGTGTTTTTTATTGTTTTTATTGCCAATTTTCAACAGACATTACGCCAATAAGCGCTACTTTTTATGCTTTGTCTTCATTTCTACACTTACATTTATGGCGAAAACTATTAGGTCCCCATTAGTAGAGTCTAACGGAAGCGGATATCGTAAACGCATGAATTCGAGGTCACACAATTCGAATTTTGGTTTGTTGACCTACTTCTGTATTATATAATATTATTATTGTTTTATTTAATAAAAATAATTAAATTGTTAATTAATAATGTGCAAAGAAATTTTTTTTGTATTTGAACATTAAAAAATTTTATTAGCTGTGAATACCGTGAATACCTATGTACTAGGTATATGAGAGGAATGAAAAATATTGCTTTATAATGTACCGACATTGCACTGATAACGCATTGAACTGCAGTTCTCTAAAAGACATAGATATTTAGCCAGACAATATTTTATGTATCTAAGTCATACTTGTGAAAGTCTTAGAACTTTTATTATTATAAATGCCTTAGGCTTATTTATGACCAATGTAGATTTTTGTGACTTAAGTCATTCCAGCGATTCGCACAAAAAGTTTCTTTACATCTCACAAAATCCCTTTAAGTTTTGACAATTTTCTTTGATCACTTTATTGCCGTTTTCCCTATTTTTTTTACAAGCAATGCTATTGTTTTCTAAAACGTTAACCCTAGTTTTTTTTACCGGTCAATCCTCCAGCTAAGACGACTACGCACTTTTTGTTATTTTCGAAATCGTACGTTACTCTAAATATTTATCTACTTTATGTTACACTTCTGATGTTGCATTTAACTCCCACTATATTATTCACATCATTACCTTGACTTTCGACACCTGACACCTATTATAATCTAGTAATAAAGTGCAGATATCATAAAAGTCAATTTCAATTTGAAAGTATTAACAAATTTCAGATAACATACTGTAGTAAAGAGTCTTTAATTTGTAAAGTGATTTACGTTAGGTCTAATGTCTCTGGATTATGTGTTTACACCAAAATTTATTTTTCGGGTAAAAAACTTATTCTCAGATGATGGTGTAGTAACAGCCTTTAAATAAATATGTTAGTAAGGTAGTTACTCTGGTAAAACTAAACCAAATGAAATTTTTATAATAAGACTATATTTTTCTAGTATTGTAGTATTGTTATTTATATTTGAACTTAATCTATGGTTCATATAGCTATGTTTATCTATAATTATTTTGTATAATATCATTTTTATAATTAGTACACAAACAAAAGTACGAAATGCACTTCAATTTGTAGAGCAATCTTACAAGTTAACTCGTTATCTACAAGAAAAACGAGTTAAATATAATACGTATTCTTTAACATTAGTTTAACATGATATATATGTTGCATACTTATATCTGCAAAAAGTTTCCACAAATGAAATATATTAAGTATTTATATTACCAAATATATAACAGTATAGTATTATAAGCGTATAATTAAAAATAGATACATCGATAAATGTTAATATTTTTTAACTATATGTAATCAACTAAATATTAAAAGTAAATGTTTTCTGAACTATTTTTATTTTAAATATGCAAAATATTTTTTATATATTTTTCAGATAATTTTCGGGCTACTAGCCCTTTGTGTATTTGCCAGCGCTGAAGAGGCCAAAAAAGCAATTGAAAATAAGTCAGCGGAACCAGCCGCAGCAGCAACTGAAACAAAATCAATAAGCACAGCTGAAAAGAAGCAAGAGAAAAGAGGAATTTTACATGGTACTGGCTACGGTTACGGTTCTAGTTATGGACATTCTGGAATTGGCGCCATTGGTATTGGCGCCATTGGACATGGAGCCATTGGACATGGCGCTGTAGTTGGTACTGGTTATGGCATTGGTGGTGGAACAGGCTATGGTGCAGCGATTTCAGTACCTACTAATGTACACACCAATACGGTGGTGCGTAAAGTAGCAGTGCCATATCAAGTAGAACGTCACGTACCATATCCAGTTGAGAAAACTGTTACGTACCCCGTAAAGGTACCTGTACCACAGCCCTATCCTGTTGAAAAGACCATCACTTATCCAGTGAAAGAAATTATTAAAGTACCTGTACATATACCACAACCTTATCCTGTAGAGAAAACAGTGCACGTACATGTACCAGTACATGTTGAACGTCCAGTTCCAGTTAAAGTACCAGTTCCACAACCCTATCCAGTTGAAAAAATTATACAAGTCCCAGTCAAAGTACCAGTGCCACAACCCTATCCAGTTGAAAAAATAGTGCAAGTACCAGTTAAAGTACCAGTACATGTACCACAACCATATCCAGTTGAAAAAATTGTGCAAGTTCCATACAAAGTAGCTGTTGATCGTCCATACCCAGTACATGTTGTAAAACCATATCCAGTACCAGTTGAAAAACCTGTGCCATACACAGTTGAAAAGAAAATTCAAATTCCCGTACAGGTACCAATCGACCATCCCGTTCCCGTACATGTCGATCGTCCAGTGCCAGTGCCAGTGAAAGTACCAGTTCCAAGACCATACCCTGTTATTAAAGAAATTCCAGTTCCAGTTGAACGCAAAGTACCATACACTGTACAAGTGCCTGTTGAACGTCCAATTCCAGTTACCATTGAGCAACACGTGCCGGTAGTACATGAACGTCAAGTACCTTATAAGGTACCAGTGTACCAGCCTGTACATGTTGAAAGTCATGTTGCGCCAGCAGTTGTTGGGCATGCCGTAGTCGGCCATGCTATTGAAGGTCACGGTCACGGTATCTCATCATACGGTGATCATGGTTTTTCATCATATGGCGGACACATTCACAAAAAGAAGTAGAGAAGTTTTTATGCTTAATTAACAAAAAATATAAGAAAATGTTAAGAAGAAAAAGACGTTAATAGAAATTAGTAGAGCATATCAAGCACGGCCATTGCTTCATAAATGGAACAAAAAAATCTTTTCTAATGCTTTCTTATCTATCGTTAAAATTAGTTTTTAGTTTGTGATAAATTTAAAGTAATTGAAGGAGAAAGAATAAATTTGTGCAATGACCATATAATCGTATTGAAAATATATAAAATTGGACCGTATGTGTCAATAGCTTCTGTTTACGAAACTAGCCAAAACTTATAGCCTGAATGTAAGGAGGCAAAAAGGAAGGTATTTTTAAGCAGGATGAAATGGAAAATAAGTTTTTATTGCATTGGACCGAATATAAAGGAAAATTCTTGCACAGAACATATCTCATAAGGATTAAGTATCCAGCTAAAATGGATTAAACCACTAGGCTATAACACATCTGAGACTTAATACACAATGAACACCTGCCAATCTAAATATGTTTACTTCGTAAGAGGCACTGCAACGAATTTCTAAAATAAATTTGCAGTTCAATTTTATATAATTTTATTCTGTACGGTCTAATCGACGTCCAACGAACTTGCCCCACATGTATTTTTATTTTTATAGTTTTAACTCAGCACTTCAACTGCAGCTCCTCATGGTCTATAAACGATTTAGATTTCTAATTACATAGTACAATTGTTTTTTTCTCTTTCGAAGTTTTATGTAAAACAAATATTTTTTTGTATTCATTATTTGTATATATTTAATTATGTAAATAAAACACTACAAATCATAAAAAATTAAAAGAAAACCTTTTTTATTCACTTTACTATTTTTCACTTTACTTAGATCGAAAAAAACCTATTCTTTAAAAATTAAAACAAATAAGATTCAATAAAAATCGAATTCGCAAAATTCTGGGGTCCTACTGGAACCGAGCGCGACAATCATGATTGATCTTAATAAAAGATCAAAACAATTGAATATCCACAGGTAGCACTTCCGATGAAGGTCTGTATATGCCCCGTTGGATTTTCCTTATGATAACAAGATACTTAAATGATAACTAAAAAATAAAGTAAAAATACTTCAAACAAAAACTATCATATATTGTGTTTACTTAAAATGGATTTATAATAAATTTAATAAAAAATAATAAATTAGATATATAAAAGTTGTTATCAGTAACGACAGTCTAGCAGGCAATCAGTCTATAAGAAGAGTCTAACATAGCCAACAAAATGATGTTTAGTACAACTAAACTAAGTTACGAATAAACTCATAATCTATGAGTATGAGCTTATAATCTATATTGGATCCGATAATAGTAAATGAGTATATAAGTTTAAATGTTTATAATCTATATTGGAACCCATAATAGTAAATGGGTATATAAGTTTCAAACGTAGGAGATGCGATGAACCAAATTGTTGGTGTCCGATCAATACCGATCTTTAGCTGCTGAGAAGTCGTCATCAAGAATTGTCATCTTTGCATTCCTCAAAGGGATGGCTTTAGGTTTACATATATACGTATAACATTCATGTAGACGACATGTTGACTTAAAGATGGTGTCAGACAAATACTTCTGCAGACATTGTTATCTAACGTGCTTTATTACAACAAAACATAAGTTGTGGCAACTGAAGGAACGTCATATTAAGCAACCCAATGCAGGAAGAGGCTAATATATTCAGATACATCGGAGTCTTTTCAAATTATTGCAATAATCAAAAAAAAAAAAATATTTAACTTATTAAATAGTCATGGTAGGTTAATCTTGAATAAACGTACGTATCAGATTTATTTCGGAAGAAAGTTCTAAATGAGCTGAAGTCTGGTCACGTGCCTGACACCTGACCGCCACACACACAGAAATCAGAATGGTGTGGAATTTTCATTAGAAACTGTTAAATTTAAAAATTGTTTAGCTTAGGTTAGGTTATACCGGCAATCTCAATAAATACACTTAGACCTAAAGGCACATTGTATTATCGCATAATTAAAAACTTAGGGTTTAGAACCACTTAGAATTTTTGGCAAAGCTTATAATGCTATTTAAGGGAGCATCCAGAAAGAAATCCCCGAACGTGGAAAGGAGGACAGAAAGAAAGCAGATGGGAAGCAGGTATTATTGAAAGAGAGGTTTAGTCTTCTAACATAGTTACTTTACAGTGACCTGTAAGTTACCTGCTACAAGACTAATATCTCTACGGGGCATCGTAAAGAGAGAATAGGATTTTTTTTTATTGGAACGTGGTCAAATTGTATATAGATACCTGCATATCGTTGAGGGTTCCCTTCTGTTATTAATAAATTCAGTACAGGAGGAACACAGTGACAGTTTGCATAAAGTCAACGATATGCCCAGATTGTTTAGGTGTTCCGAATAGTTACCTGAAGCACCCCGACTGGCAGCTGGTCTACTTTGCAATTACCGAAAATATTCCTATAACCGGGAACCCAGGTTAAAGAAATATTGAACTGCGTCGGCATCTCATTTAGAGATGTATAGCTATCAAAGACCGTCATTGATATAAACTGGACTGAACTCAAGGACTTTAAAGTAGCTTGACTACTCAATAGTATGTATAAAGTACTGTCAAGTATATTGTCTATTTCCAGACAGGCTGTAGCCTCCCCAATTACGAACAACTTTGCCAGAACACTAAAGTGATTCAAATAATAATATTGAGTGGATTACTTCCATTTTTTGAATAAAGTTGTATATATATTTTTTTTGAAAATGTTGTATGGGAGGTGGGTGTTGAAATGGGCAAAATATTATGACAATTCAATATCTGTACTAGTTCAAAAAATACCGAATTTTGACTGTACATCGTGTATACTAAATTATGATAAGCTCAGACAGTTATCAACGTAGTGCCAATATATATAGATGACAAACTCAAAACTCATCTTGTAATCGTAATAAACGTCATGTCATAATAATAAAAGTTTTAAAATGAATTTGTGGCATATTTTTAAACAGAAATTTTAGAAGCATTTGATTTAAAATTTAACAGCTTTTGCACATATTTAAAGCTTTAAGTAAGGCTTCAAAAGTGGAAAAACTTAAAAAGTTGATTTATAATCTCAACTACCCTAAAAGCACGCTAAGGAATTTTAAATAAATTTCAAAAAAGCTTATCTTGATTTTATTGGAAGGCAACTTTATTTGCAGTTTTTTGCTTCATAAATGACTTTTACACCTAAAAATATAAACAATATGGATTCGTGAGGCAGTACTATTTAGGGTTTAATGGGGTTTAGGAGAGATGCATCAAATATTTATTTATGTTGCCATTGTTATTGAAAAACTCTGCATACTTTTGATCGTCTTATATATATATGTTAGTAATATTATTGTGGGATCCACAATATATAAGCATGAGATTATAAAAAATAAACAAAATATATAAAAAAAGAAATATTATATTAATATTAATTGTGCAAGTATTAAATTAAACGAAATAGGCGATATTCAAGAAATATCAGTGATATGAGACTAGCAAAATTGTAGTCATTAAATACATATTTTTGAAATATCACAAAGTCGTACAAAATCGAGATCTATATTTATATCTGTTCGACAAGAAGTAGTTCCAATTTCTGATGGATAATTTTTGAAATGATCTGAGAGAGCTAAAGTTAACTTTATTTGGATGATCAAAGGTTTAACACAGATTAATCAAAAATTTGAAAACAATGGTTAACTCAGCTCGCTTTTTTTTTGTTAGCTTTAAAAAAATCGGAAAGAATTATTTTTATATGATTTACAACAAATTTATTTATTCGTAAAAGATAACTTAAGTTTTTTTTCGAAATGCTGAAGTATTCTATATACTGTTTACATTTTTTCACAAAATTCATTGTAATTACTGCTTTGATAGGCATCAAATCGATTAGCCTTTACGGTTTTTTTGAACAAATTTGTAGACTTTTTTGACATTATCAGGCTTTCAAAAAAAAATTGTAGAATAAAAAGCATATATTGTAAATTACAAATTTTTGTCAATGACTTCGTTTCGTAGTCAACGAATAAACTTCATAGAGAGCAACATTCGTAAAAACCAATATAGATTTGGGCCCAACCGGTAATGCATTGACCTTATAAATACAATGCGCATTATATTGGAACAATACAACGAGTTTCGTGCTTCTTTTTATACATTATTCATTGATTTCAAAAGGGCGTTCGAAGGGCATTTCAAAAGGGCATTAACAAATATTATGTATGGAGAACTCTATTGCACAGAGATCTACCACCGAAAATAATCAATATAATCATATATATAATATATAATCAGAGTCATGTACAAAAATGTTAAATGTCGTATTATGCTTAACGGTCTACTGTCAGAACAATTTAAAGTCTAGAGTGTGACAGGAATGAATTTTGTCACACTCTTTTTTTCATCCTCTGCCCATATGTCTTTCCAATATCGACATTACTAGAAATCTTCTCCATTAGGTTATAATATACCCCATCTTATCACAGTATGCACATTTTTTCATCATATTATAGAAAGTATTTGCAGTTTTTGTTTTTGTATTGTTTGTATATTTATCGTTATTCTCTATTGCGTCTATTGTTTGGTACTGATGTTTTAAAAATACTAGTACTTCATTTAAACTCTGTACTTCTGATTTTTGATACTTAATTCATACAATCTTAGCTTTTCTTTTTCCATCTTCCTTTAAATTAGTTGTGCTATTAACGATTCTGCTACCTCAAGCAACATGCCTAACTCTTTTATAGCATTTATGCATATACTTATCGTATTCAATAGCTTCCGATGGCATCGTCGATCGTTTATCGAATAGTCGATCAACTTGTGTTGTAAATAATAATCTTTTGTTACTCTATCCTTTTTGTAGTGTTTCCTAAGCTCCTAACATTCATGTACTTGAATAGTTTGCTAGCTTCATCCTTGATTAATGTCTTTAGTCTATACATCTTCTATATATTATCATCCTGGTCTCTGCTTCACTCGTTTTTTTGACTTCTAATGTTTTTTCCAAAATTTCTTTTATTTCATTTTCTTCCGACATTCTTTCTTTTTCACATATTTCAACTGTGATATCCATGTCTCTGATATCCTGGTCTCTGCCTCACTCGTTTTTTTGACTTCTAATGTTTTTTCCACGATTTCTTTTATTTCATTGTGTTGTGTCAGCCATGTTGTAATTATGGTGGTTCTAGAAGCCTAGCATGGCACGCTGGCAGGCCCGGTATGCTCGCCGGTTTTGGGTGTAAGTTCTTGGCAACTATTGGCCACCTGCTGACAACAAACAAAAAAATATCGTGCCATTGACAAATTCTATATAATTCTATTTAGTAATTTTTCTAAGTCTTTCAGTCCTGT